CAGTACAACGACTGAAATTTCTTTTGAGAGCCACATTTTTGAAACTTAAACTATAGAGGTAGGTACATTGTTATTAACTTAATTAGGGTACTCCTAAGAGAGCCACACTCAGGGGGCCAAAGAACCGAATGTGGCTCGCGAGCCGCAGTTTGCCGACCACAGCACTAGACAGTTGCAGGCCCTAACTTTTTTTTAACAACTGGGGCGATAAAGGAAACCAAAAAATAACTCCAGCCCAATTCCACAACCTCACAGGGTGTAGGGCGAAGATACGCTCATGTGGTGTTGAGGAAAGCAGACATCGACCTCACCAAGAGGGCAGGAGAGCTCACCGAGGACGAGGTGAGGACCCAGAAGGGGGCCTGTGGGCTGGGCCTGCCTCGCAATGGTGCCATCGGGATCTGACCTGTGTCCTGCCTGCCAGGTGGAACGTGTAATCACCATTATGCAGAACCCACGCCAGTACAAGATTCCAGACTGGTTCTTGAACAGACAGAAGGATGTGAAGGACGGGAAATACAGCCAGGTGTGTATTGAGATGAGAGAGTGAAGAGAGGCCGGGCAGCGGAGGTCGGGGGTTATATAAGCATCCCTCACCCTCTTCTGAATCCAGGTCCTGGCCAATGGTCTGGACAACAAGCTTCGTGAAGACCTGGAGCGGCTGAAGAAAATTCGGGCCCACAGAGGGCTGCGCCACTTCTGGGGGTGAGTCTGGGTGGAGGTCTCCTTTCCCTTGGAGCTGCCTTCTCTTCCCAGATGTTTTGTGTGATGTGAGTGACCTGTGATCCTTTTCTCACCCACAGTCTTCGTGTTCGAGGCCAGCACACCAAGACCACAGGCCGCCGGGGTCGCACTGTGGGTGTGTCCAAGAAGAAATAAGTCTGTAGGCCTCGTCTGTTAATAAATAGTTTATACACCTATGGCTTCCTTTGTGACTTTTCTTGCTTCTTCTGGGGACATTGCCAGGGAATGCTAGCTGTCATGAGGACCCTATTGGTCATTTTCCCAAGTCTCCACTGATGTACCCACCCAGCTACCCAAACAATGTCCTTGGTTTTGGTTTAAGCAATGGTGTCACTCCCTTCCCACCCTCTTAAGGTTTGAGGAGGTGGGACTAGTCACTCAGCCTGTAGGGGGAGCCCAACCAGTTTTCCCTGGGGCTGGAGTGGAGAGTGCAGGTAGTTGGAGTCTGCAGCTCCGGTGAGTTTTTGCAGGTTTTGGCCATCCTAGGTCTCTACGGTATGGGGCTCGGGTGTTGAAAAGTTGGGGACGGGGTGCAGTTTCTTTGATACGGAACTGAGGGTCTCATTACCTGGAGCTAACACGTGGTTGGGGAGGAAGGTCTACGTCAACACGCACTTGGTCCAATTACTTTCCGGTCCCCAGAAAGTGCCCCTCCGGTGCTGTGGGCGGGGTCTGGGAACGCGCGGAGCCACACCCCTCCCGGGAAGGGGCGGGACTGCCGCTCATCTCCGCGCCGGCGGGAGGCGGCTGGTGCTGCAGCTCAGCCAGCCATGGCGCTTCGCTTCGCGGTGGCGGGGCAGCGACCAGGTAACCTCCCCGCTGCTCCAGCCCCGGCCTCCCGCGTCCGAGTCTCCGCACCTTATGGCGCAGGTACCGCCCGCCGCCTCCGCTCGCCCCCTCCTCGGCGTGGTCGGTTAGGGACTCGGGCTGCCGAGAGGGCTCCCCGCCCTCCAACCGCCCTCCATCTCCCCCGCCAGGCTCCCTCTGACTGCGCCACGCCATGCCCCTCAGCCTCTTCCGGCGCCTGCTCCTCGCCGCCCTGCTGCTAGCGATTGTCTGGACCCTCTTCGGGCCCTCGGGCCTCGGGGAGGAGCTGCTGAGCCTCTCGCTGGCCTCCCTGCTCCCCGCACCGGCCTCGCCAGGGCCGCCCCTGGCCCTGCCGCGTCTCCTGATCCCCAACGAGGACGCCTGCGGAGGCCCCGGCGCCCCTCCCTTCCTGCTCATCCTGGTGTGCACGGCCCCCGAGAACCTCAACCAGAGAAACGCCATTCGGGCCTCGTGGGGCGGGCAGCGCGAGGCCCGCGGGCTTAGGGTGCAGACTCTCTTTCTCCTGGGAGAGCCCAGCGGGCGGCACCCCACCGGGGGCTCCCATGAGAACGACCTGGCACGGGAGGCGGTGGCCCAGGGGGACATACTGCAGGCGGCCTTCCACGACTCCTACCGCAACCTGACCCTCAAGACGCTCAGCGGGCTGAGCTGGGCGGACAGACACTGCCCCATGGCCCGCTACGTCCTCAAGACCGACGACGATGTGTTTGTCAACGTTCCGGAACTGGTGTCGGAGCTGGTCCGGCGAGGGGGCCGTTGGCAGCAATGGGAGAGGGGCATGGAGCCCCAGGGAGAGGCTGGGGCTGGAGGTGGAGAGTGGAAAGGAGGCCGCCCCACCCTGGTGAGTCAGCCCCTGCCTCTTTTGTACCTGGGCCGTGTGCACTGGCGGGTGCACCCCTCTCGGACTCCCGGGAGCAAGCACCAAATATCGGAGGAGCAGTGGCCTGCCACCTGGGGCCCTTTCCCACCCTATGCCTCGGGCACTGGGTATGTGTTGTCAGCTTCCGCTGTGCAGCTCATCCTCAAAGTGGCCAGCCGGGCCCCCCCTCTGCCACTGGAAGATGTCTTTGTGGGGGTAAGTGCCCGACGGGGAGGCCTCACCCCAACCCACTGTGTCAAGCTGGCTGG